TCCAATTATCCTTGCAGGTAAAATCACTCTGCACTGTACCTCAATAAGCACAAAAGGAATATTTCTGTGACTTTGTATAAAGGTGTGGCCTAAATAAGGTAAGGGAGGGGGGGTTTAGCTTATTTAGGCCACAGGTGTGGCCTAAATAAGGCAAGGGAGGGGGGGTTTAGCTTATTTAGGCCACAGGTGAGGCCTAAATAAGGTAAAGGAGGGGGGTTTAGCTTATTTAGGCCATATGTGGCCTAAATAAGGTCACCCAAAAAATAATTATGCACGAGAGCTGTTAGCGACCGTAAGCAATGACGGGTCATTCATTACAAGTCAACTTCTGAGCCAGAGATGAAGGCTCCAGGCATCCCAGGACGTTGACATTAAAGTAACGAGGCAGGCATTCACACCTTAGTTGTCTACTGAATTTGTTTTTTCTCTTGATTATTTGTGTTTTTTTAAGGCCCCCCACCGACGCAGTTTAGAAAACGTAGAAGGCGGCTTCGACCCTGCCTGTCAGGGCCAACCGGGGCTTAGTCTGAGGGACACAATATCCCAGACGAAAGAACGATGATGATACAGTCAATAAAAACTGTCCCTACTGAAACAAAGAAAAGAAGAAAGAGAGATAACGACGACAGGTGTTTTGTAAAAAAGTAGCAGCGAAACACACCAGAGCGCCCGCCAACCTCATTTTTGTTGCATCTATTGTTGTTGTTGATGTTGTTATTATTGTTGCTGTTGTTGTTGATGTTGATGATGATGCTAATGCTGTTGTTGTTGTTGGAGTTCCCTGCCTACATGCTTATATTTAAGTATTTTTTACTCACCCATCGAGACCACAGATAATTTAGGAGGCGGGCATCGATATGTTCCAGGAGAAAGATGGAGATACTCGATACAAATTTCCCCCCACACGGGAATTGAACTCGAGCCTGCTGTTTACTGTGGCGAAGCACCTAACCACCACACAGCAGCAGACGCGGGTTTGTCTACCTAGCCCGGTACTGTCGGAGGTTGACGCTCAATACACAACTGACAGCCAACCCAAAAGTGCTCGAAAGGGAAGTTTAACTTATACGATAAAGAGATTCATTGTATTTATACTACTGTACTATGATATGACATATTGGCTGCCAAATAAGCGAAAGATGGCCGACTTTTTAAAGGTTTTACTGCATTGTTGTATCAATTAAAAGTTACAATGTAGATGGGTCTGTGAAAGTGAGAGGCGCCAGTTGTAGGGCTTGCTTTTTTTTTTTTCTCTAATAATTTTCCGTCTCTCTTTCTTACTCTTTCCCAGCAGTAAAGGATCATTTTTGTTTCGGTGTGCTTCTTTTTAGTCAAATAAACAGGGACGTTGTAGTTGTAGTTAGAGTTGGATGTTTTGAGGGTTCCACTGGAAGGGTTCCCCCCCACCCCCACCCCCTTTTTTCTTTCTTTCTTTCTTTCTTTCTTTCTTTCTTTCTTTCTTTCTTTCTTTCTTTCTTTCTTTCTTTCTTTCTTTCTTTCTGACCATTACTGTGTCTTTGTTTTTTTCCTCACGCAAACAAACAGGCAAACTATGAAACGGACAAACAAACAAACAAACAGACAAACAGCCATGACGAAGACCCACAAGTGACCTTGACAGAAATCTGACTTCCACGGAACCATGCAGCCCACAGAAGTGCTAGTGGGGGATAAGTGACAGATAGGTGGCAATGGTAGGTCGAGGTAGTTTAATGTATGGTTGTATTGCGATGTTTTTTTTTGCTGTTTTAGTAAGCCTTTTATGGTACTTGCAACACAAGACGGTCAAATAAGTGCCGGAGATAAGAGGTGTAACAAAGACACACACACACACACACGCACACACACACACACACACACACACACACACACGCGCACACACACACACACACACACACACACACACACACACACACACACACACACACACACACAAATATAAGGAGGAGAGATAAAGACGATATATATTTGATAGGAATAAGAAGGAGCAAACCACACCGGAACCCCCCCCCCCCCCCAAACACCAGGGCGAAAGTTTAATGTCTTGATACTTTAGACATAAGTTATTGGAGATTACTCAAGAAGCGAATTGAACGTTACCTCAGCGAAACGCTTGGAAAAATCGAAAATTTCCAAACTCTCACAAGTATGAGAACAGCCAGTTAGGGGTTTGAACCAATATAAACGTCTGCATTGTCATGTTGTCAATCTCGAAACCGAATGAGCATTTTGGTGCACTGTTTTCGGCTAGAAATACGCCCTAAAAACAGTGGATTGTATAAAGTATGACCTCTGTTTACAACATCGGCAACAACGACAACAATAATAACAATAACAACAGCAACAACGCCATAAATAACAACAACAATAATAACACCAACAGCAACAACAAAAGCAACAACAACAACAACGACTAAAAACAATGAAAAAACCCCGATAACAACAATTAACAAAGCAACAACGACAACAATTGACAAAGCAACAACGACAACAATTGACAAAGCAACAACGACAACAATTAACAAAGCAACAACGACAACAATTGACAATAGCAACAACGACAACAATTAACAAAGCAACAACGACAACAATTGACAATAGCAACAACGACAACAATTGACAATAGCAACAACGACAACAATTGACAATAGCAACAACGACAATGGTAGCGACAAAGAAGGCAGCAATAAACATAAAAGCAAAATAAATAATGATCCATCCAACAAACATAGACCGAGACTACACCTTTTTACTGGAAAACTTGATTTTTCTCTGCAATAAAGGTTTTTAATGTTTACAATAGTATCAAACACTCTCCTCTCTCGCAGATATTTACATTCGATATCTACAACAACAACAATAATAATGATAATAATAATAAATAATGGCTACAATGACACTACTACTACTACTACTACTACTACTACTACTACTACTACTACTACTACTACTACTACTACTACTACTACTACTACTACTACTACTACTACTAATAATAATGGTGACAATAATTAGAAGAAGAAAAAGAAGA